ATTTTTATGCCTTACTATACTATGACGTTTTTTGTCATACTATACTATGACGTTTTTATGCCTTACTATACTATGACGTTTTTTCACATTTTATGCCTTACTGTACTGTGACATTTTTATGACATTTTATGCCTTACTATGCTATGTTGTTTTTATGACATTTTATGCCTTACTATACTATGATGTTTTTATCCTTTTTTATACTGACATTTTTTGACATTTTTATGCCTTACTATACTATGACGTTTTTTGTCATACTATACCATGACGTTTTTATGCCTTACTATACTATGACGTTTTTTGACATTTTTATGCCTTACTATACTATGACGTTTTTTGACATTTTTATGCCTACCATATTATGACGTTTTTTGTCATACTATACTATGACTTTTTTATGCCTTACTATACTATGACGTTTTTTGTCATTTTTATGCCTTACTATATTATGACGTTTTTTGTCATACTATACTATGACGTTTTTATGCCTTACTATACTATGACGTTTTTTCACATTTTAAGCCTTCCTATACTATGTCGTTTTATGCCTTATTATACTATGATGTTTAAATGACATTTTATACCTTACTTTGACGTTTTTTTCCACATTTTGATGCCTTACTATACTATGATGTATTTTTACACTCATCCTTGTTCACTCTGCTGGAGAGAAATCATTATATTGTGACACCAACATTAAAATAAATAAATCAAATTTGGTATTTTGAATCCTTCCACACACAGAAGAAACTTTAGGAATATTTGCAGCTGACCATGTCCAGAGAACAAATCCAGATCCTTTGTGTGTGTGATTGTGTCTTAGTTCATAAAGTTATTAGTCCTAACACTGTGATAAAAAGTATAATCAATAACTTTATTTATTACTACAGTAGATAAAAGACTTTACAAACAGACACGACACATGTTAAGGAAAATGCAGAGGCCAGAACATTTTATACAATAAGTTTATGTACACTTTTACACTTCATTAACAAAACAGCCATTCTACAATAACCAGGATAGTGCTCTGAACGAGGAGGAATCTGTCTGCAACATAATGCTTCAACAAGTGGCTCTGCTCCTTTTTATTTGGTTTGTTATTGCTGTCCTTCAACTCCAACAGTCTCTGCTTCGATCCAGTGTGTGCTGAAGAGTGATACGGTGGATGTGCTGCTGTAGAAAAAAAAACAAAAAACAAAACTACTCAAATTACTCTGCTAAAGTTTAGAGGCCCGAGCCATCTCGCGGGCCTTCGTCTGTCCGGAGGGAGGCGGCTGCAACGTCGAACTACAATCCAAAATATCAAACTGCAAAAAGGTCAACACAGAGAAAGTTGCTCCCTCTTTAGCTGAATTCAGACAATGTTGAACTCATACAGCTCTTCCTGCCGTCCACTGGCATATAAAAACATTTCAGTCCGTTTCTTTTTTTGTCTTTGAACAAACATTTCTCATGGTTTCTGGTCTGAAAACATTTTATATATATATATATTTATGTATATATATGTACACCCTTTAGTGAAATGCAATCTGATTTTGGTTTTCTGTCATCGCCAACAATCAAACAAATAAACAAACAAACAAACAAACAAACGCCCTCCTGTGCTGTGTGGTTCAGCAAGCCCAAAGACAGCGGGGGCCGGCCATAGCCATACCTTTGTTGTCATGGCAACATGTCACGTGCGTGTAATGTTCCGTGCACGTGTGTGTGTTTGTGAATGTGTGTGCATCCACTGAGTTTTTTGGCGAATGGCAGGCACAGTCGACGTGTCTTGTCAGTTGATGTATGACGTGATTTGCTCGCTCTTGTGCACGCACGTGCGCGCACACACACACACGCACACAAACGCACAGAACAATCAACAAAACAAAGGCACTCTGGGAAGGATTGGGGCGACGTGTGTGTGTGTGTGTGGAAACTGTTAAAAAAAGAAGTGTGTGTGTGTGTCGCCAAGGCCCCTCTAATACCTTCATCTATAAACCCTCACACTGGAAAAAACTTCTTCACTTTTCAGTAACAGCAACCTGTTTTACCCTGTATGTGTGTTTGTGTGTGTGTGTGTGTGTGTTCCTGTGTGTGTGTTTGTGTGCACTCTGGCGGCCTCCAGGCACATGAGGAGGAGGAGGACAACTCCATCGACATCAGCCGCTGCTCCGCCTCTCTCTCGTCATGATGTGCGTAACGGTTGGGGAGGAGAACAAAACCAAAAGAGGAAACCCGAGGATGAGAACACGGGGTCAACATTCAGGCATGAGATGATTCCCCAGCAGGTGCAGAGACAGAGAGGTCCTCCGAGCTGTCTCCTCTACCCATAGTTCATAGGGATGAAGCCAGGGTTGGTGGGTGGGGGAGTCTTTGATTGGTTGCTTTTCAAAACGATGAATCGAGGCGGAGTCGGTTTCTCAGTGGTTATTTCACGCAGAGCAGGCCGCCCACGTTGGCCACAAACTCCTCCAGGCTCTTGAGGAAGGCAACCTTCTGTTTCCGGTCCATGGTGGGCGGCGTGCTGCTGGCCGTCAGCTTGTTGAAGGCGTCGGCCAGCCGCTGGTAGATGACGGCGTCTCTTTGAGAGGAGAGCAGTGTCTCCACCAGCTCCGAGTACTCCGCCTGACGGAGGAGAGCGACAGATCAGGTCAGGGTGAAACTAGAACCGATTCAACGAGCAGCAGAATAATAAATAGATAAATGATAAGTAACAAGTATTTGAAAAGCCACAGATGTTTGAGCAAAGTGTCATCACTTTACTGTTTATTTTATTATATATAAATTTAATTTTCAACTGTAAAATATCCAGTAACTTAAATAAACTCATACTTATGGTGGACAAACTATAATTATGACATTAAATTACTTCAAACATAATTTGTCACTCATCGACTGACATGCTCACAGATACAATATATCTCTAGTTACAATTCTTCAATAATGAAATTTAAATCCAAAAGGTTTACGGCTGCAACAAATTATTATTATATATTACTACTGGTATATCTATTATTGATTAATCTTCTGATTAATTTCTCAATCATTCTCTATAAAATGTCAGAAAATACTGAAAAATACACATCAGAATTTTCCTTTGAGTATTGGATACACTATAAGTCAAGTCTTTATGAGCGGTGATGCTTGGGTCCAAAAATGCAGTTAAATCATCTAGCATTCATTTGCTGGCAGTGTATTATGGGTAATCTTATACTAACATTATCATTAAATTAATGGACCATCACAGTGGAGCTGCGTTTTTCGCAGACCAAACACTAGAGGGCGTCTGGAGTCATGCACCAAAACTTCCTGCTTCTCTGATAATGTGAGCAGCTTGAATTGTTGTGACTTTTAATTCATATTTAAACATGTAACAGATATGAAAGGCCAATGTCTCTCGTGAGGACGCTTCTAATGATGTGGTTGGTCGACTGCTGCTGTTACTGAAGTGGACAGTCCAGTTGGACAGTGGACGCAGGCTTCCCATCAGACAACAGGCAGGAAACATTACGTCCACACAGATGTGGAGACCAACATTTCTGCAGCCAAGAAAGAATTTACCAATAACTACTTGATTGTGGGTTTCAGTCTGAGCTAATTCTATATCTGACCTGAAGACCATTTTATAAACGAGACTCCTGCTCGCAGAAGAAATTACACTTTAAAAAGCTGCACAAAAGCCCAGACTGAGCGCCTTCAAAAAGAAAGAGCTCAATCATCTAAAAGCCTTCAGCTACTTTAAATGGCAAGAAAATCAACGGAACCAAAGCAAACTTAACAGTTGTTCATTGATTTTATATCTACCAGTTATTTTTAGTTCATTCTCAGTATTTCTTCTTTGAACATTAGCGGATTAAACCACTGCAGTATCCTCACCCCTGCATGTGTTTTATCAGTCAGTCAGTCACTCACCTGGTGCAGGCACACGAGTGTGTAAAGAGCTTCTCCTGCTGCCACCGTCATCTCTGTGTTGTGTTTTTGCAGGACCAGCATGTCAAACACCAACTGAAGACAGAGGACGGAGCACAGGGAGAGAAGAAAGGAAAAATTATTATACAACAAAAAAAGTGTACATCAGTCAAATCAGTTCCAGGAATGCTTTATACCTTGAGGAAGTGACGAGTGGCGATGAAGAGAGGCGTGTCCTTCTCCTGGTTTTTGGCGCACTGTTCAGCCAGAGGAGACAATGCCTCCAAGCACAGCTGACTGATCTCTGAACTCATCCTGAAAATAGACGTTAAGGAGCAGAAACCACCAAAAAAGAAAAAAACAAAACAAAACAAAACAAAAAACTGTATTTTTAAATCTTGCACCAGGCACAGTGAAGCAGAGAAAGGCAACGGATGACAAACCTAGTTAACATAAGGTTGTGGTTCTCTTCTTCTTGAAGCAAAAGTTTTATGTGAAATTGTGACTGAACATGGTGACAACGACAATAATATCATTGCTTTATCTATAAAAAGTCTGAGAGAGATAATAATGATAATGCTATCAGTCAACTTCATCTTTACCTTTGTTTACTCTGTGTTTTGTCTCTTTTTTGGCAAATGAATTCGACTCAAATACGAGCGTAGGGAGGTGTAACTGTACGAAGGTGCACAAAAAGAACAATCACACTTAATAGACAGTGAAAATACATCCAGATGAACTGATAAAAAAAAGATCCACAAGGCCTCAATTTCCATCTAACATCTACCATCACCATATTATCATGCCAATATTTCATTTCTTAAATATCGCTACCTGTGTATTGTGACACACCTGGTTTTAACAGCAGCATAAGATACTTGTCAAAATAAAATATTCCAAAATTGACAAAACTATGATATAATTTGGAAACTGTTTGATCAGTGGGCGAGCATTTGACGCCAACTTTCGGTACCTGACAGTTTTCAGTTGAAACTGTGCCGAGGACATATTTTGGACAGGATCAAAAATGTTCTGAGGCTCAATACCCAGCTGTAAATCAAGAAGACCAACAACAACAACAACAACAACACAGACAGTGGAAGGATACGAGGTCATTCCCAGCTCCAGGGAGAACATGAGGCTCTTGAAGAGGTCTTCAGGCAGCTGTGGGATCTTCTCTGGGAAGATCTCACAGATGAAGGTGATGAGCTTGTAGTACTGGTTACACAGAGAGGGGAACTGGAGAAACGACGAGGACGGGATCAGTATGTGCACACAGAACAGAACAGATTTGGATTTTTTAAAGCACTCAGAGGAAACAATACTCAAAAAACAAATCCATGTTGTGCAGTTTTACCTTGAGCAGGTCCTGAGACATGAGTGGAAGAACAATATTGACGCCATAAAGAACCACATCTGCTGCCGATACTGTCCTATTGGAGGCCGGCGTTCCCTGGTCTTGGTTCCGAAACACCTCATCTAAAACACAGCAGTTCAATAGCAAAATCAATCTCAAGAAAATGACAACACAAACAAGGAAAAGGAAAAGTTTTCTACTCTCATTCAAAGACAGAAAAAACATCGAGCCAACAAACCTGTGTCGCTGAAGTCGATGAACTCTTTGGAGAGCAGGTTGGTGAGCAGCTCCATGATGAGCAGCAGGTCCTGGTACTGGTCCTCCTCGGCCGTGGCGTCGCTTCGCTTCCGGCTCTGGTTGTTCTTGGAGTAGACTTGTAGCAACGTGAGACAGGCCTCGTACAGCTTCATGGACTTAGTCTGAAAGAGGAGAGGAGAAAACACAGTGTCACAGTTAATGGATCCTACATTTCCCATAATACAACTTGATAGCATCTTTTCATTAGACCCTTGCTGTGTGGTAAATACCCATCACTTTAAAAATGTTCATGTCCAACACAGACTTTCTGTTCCACATGTGTCGTCTCTACGCTCAGCTGAGAAGACTCAAATGATGTCACATTAAAATAATCAAATTAAAATGATTGAAGATCACTGTATGCATATGGCAGCATATGGGTGTAGGTGTGTGTGTGTGTATGCGCAGGTAAAACACTCACCTCTCCCAAGTAGCAGATCTGCTTGTGAGCCACTTCCACAAAAACCTCAATAATGAGGTTGATTGTCTCGGGTGTGTTGCTGTAAACCTGCGCAACAAAAACAAAAGAGTTTGTATTTCATCTCGAACATACACACACTGACCAAGTCCTCTTCCGTCAGAGTGTAAAGACTTCAGTTCACCTTCCCACCCTCTCTTACCTCCATGAGGCCGATGCAGCTGGACAAGAAGTCCATGAGGAAAGAGAAGAGCGAGGCCACGTTGTCGATCTGCGTCGCCTCTGCGATGCCGCACAGCGCCTCTAACGTAGCGACGATTTCCTGTTTGACGGCTTCTTCCTGGCTGATCTGAGCGAAGTTCTCCTGGTTTATGAGGTTGAGGAAACGCTGCTGAAGAGGGTGAAGCACCTGGATGGAGAGAAACACAGTCTTAGGTTAAATAATGTGTTCAGAAGCGACATATTGTATATTCTCTGTCATTTATTCACGTCTCCAAACATTCTGAAGTGGCCTGTAGACGTTTCAGTCAGGCTACCTTCACTCAAGCAATTTCATATTTTTAAAAAGATTCAGTCACTTTTATTCATCGATCCAAGATAATTCAAGTATAAGCTGGAGATGAAGTACAAGGGATGCAGTTTTTGATCACAAATGTTCACGCTGATCCATGTACAACACGTGTTTTTAAAATTTCCTCTGTATTCTGCAGCTAATTAACAAATTTAAATGGGACTATTTTGTGTTTTTCTAACGACTGTGCCCTGTTAAAGCTCTTCATGTGAGACATAAGTTTAAGAGAAAAAAAATGAAAAATGAACACTAGTACGCCTTTTACAGCAGTTTTTAATATTCTAAAGTAATTTTGAAATCAGTGGCAGCCTGTTGTTTATAAGCACACCTGCAGGAAAACAGACTGGTGTCATCCTTCATCTGAGTAATGTGAACTCACTACAGTGTGTTTACTGTGAACAGTGATTTCTTGGTGCCTGTGAGGAAAGAGCAGTGATGTAAAGATGTAACAAAGGAGTCTTCCTCCTCCAACAGTCAGATCCAAGTTCAGACCGAGCAGCTGTACGACTCAACAGCTGCTGTCTCACTTATACCCCCCCCCCCCCCCCCCCCCCCCCCCCCACATAATTACTCTGGAGTCATTGTGGCTTTGCACCCCCATTTACTACTGTCAGCCTATTAAGACAAAGGCTTGCGGGATCAAGACAAGGATCATGTTATACACAAGGGAGAAAGACTCGACGGGGGAATATTATCGACCGCATCCATCACTCCTAATCCCCACATCTGACGGGAGTCTGTGGGGCTCAGTGACTCTGAACTGGACTAACTCTAACAATTCCATTTTTTTGTGTGTGTGCAAAGCAACAACACTAAAAAGAAGCAAGACGTGGCAAAAAAAACACATCAGACAGGTTGTAAACAAAACAAACAGTTAATCCAGACGATCTAAATGTGCAGATCAAACTGAAAGTGTGCGCACCAGAAACATCATAATTATCCTTTATTGCTCAGAAAAGCCGTGTTCACATACACTATGACAGTTTTATTCGAAGCTGATCCAAAACATTTGTGTGTAAACAGAAAGTCTGAGTAATAATTTTACTGTTGTCCTTTGTTTTCTTTCACTTTATCTTCATGGTTGGTTAAACTGGTTTGTTTACAACCTGTCTGATTGTCTCACTGCTCGTTTCTTCCCTGCGCTGCCTTTAGAAACTTCACTTCTTATCCAGATCTCAGCAATTAACTTGGTCAGTGAAACGTTATTAAAACTCAACACAAGTTGTAACAAACAGAAACATTGTTTTACAGACGAGTACGGGGGGAAAAAAATGTCTGGAAAATCCGAGTCTTTGCACATTATGTTCTTGTAATTCTTCTGCTCTGTTTATAGAATTTAATTTCATTTACAGGACTTATGTTTGCCAGAACTTTTCAGCCGCTGAGGAGGTGTGGAACTTCTAACACAGAGAATTTAATTAGTCTGGTTTCACAAAATAAAATTTACAGTCCCATGATGCCTCCCCCCTTCTCCGCCTTCCTAAGCTCAGTGTTACTGCTGAATGTCAGCATGTTGTTTTAATTTACTTTTTTGTTTTACATTATTTTTGGGGCGTATTAGAGGTATATTGGATATTTTAGACTTGAAAATAACGTAAAAAGTACTTACTACCTTTATCATTTACTTTATTCATTTTATTCATTATTGACAAATGAATCAGCACACGTTACCTCGGCCCAGTATTGCTGTTTAGTGTCAGAGTCCATGTGTGCGAAGCCTCCGAGGACCAGAGCCTTCATCAGAGACCTCTGCACCGAGCTGGACAGCAGGTGGAGAGGCGGACTGCGGCTGGCAAACTGCTTCGCCAGGTTCCACCAGCTCTCACACTGCACCACGATGTTCGCCCTGAACAGACAGACGGACAGACAGAGGGGGAGGGAGGCAGATTGTTGTTATTACTCTGCAAAAACATCTGCACTTACAGACAGATGATCTCACCCAAAATGTCTTTTTGATCAAAGTGATGCCTAATTTAAACGCTGCTGATGTCCTGTGAAAACTCTTAATCCAGTTTGGCTGATTTGCATGTTTTTATTTTGACTGAAAGTGAAGATGTTTCTGAACAGTCTCAAAAACAAGATTTCACAATCGGAGCCATATTTTAATGAAGTGCATTTTCATTCACCACAGAACAGAAGATTGTTTTTCATAGTTCATGAAAAAAACGAGATGTAAGGTTTTTAATAAAAATTGATAAACCAGATCAACAAAACAATGATTTTCTTTTTTCTAACTGTTCCATCTAACATCAAAGGGAAACAAGCTAAAACATTATTGGCGAATTACAGAAAAATAGCTTCAAGCTATTTTGGTACTTGGCTCTTTGGAGTGAGAATATCTCCGAGGCATCAATTTAGACCATTCGTTTTAATCTGTTTCTCGTGAGTCCATCAGCTTTATCAATGTGCAATACTAAATCACTGCAGTCATTTCACATTGAAACAACACCACCTGTCATTAACTGTTGTCCCGTGGCTTCTCTAACCAACCAAACACAACTGAACGGCTAAAACTAATGGTTATTTTCATTATCAATTCATCTGTTGATTATTTTCTCAATTAACTGATTAATTGTTCAAATGCTAATTTCAATTTCCAAAAGTCCGAGGCGACATCTTCTAATGTCTCATGTTGTCTGACCAACAATCCAATTATAAATGATGAAGCCAGAAAATATTCACATCTGAGAAGTTAGAACCACAAACAATTTTCTCTCAAAGAATTAATCACAACAGTTCACTGATGATCAAAACAGTTGATTCATTTTCTGTCGACTGTCCTCACCTCTCCCTCTTCTCTACCAGCGTCACCAGCAGCTCCACAGTGTCGTTGGCCAGCTCCGCCTCCGAGCTCCACACAGACAGGTTGTTGATCACCTTCTCCAGAAGGTATCCCACAATCCACTGGGCCCCCTCCGTGTCTGCGCCAAACGCTGTGCTCAGGGGCATGCTGATCTGAGGAGAGACCGAAAAACAGGATGAGACACATGGAAGAGAAACATCTGGTTATTATCAGGGAAAGAAAATACAGAGGTTTGTGTTTGTGCTGAGAAACCTGAGTGACCGACTGCTGGGGGGAACACTGGAGGATATTAGAGGGGCGGGAAGCCTCATACCTGCTCGTAGAGCTTCTCGTCCACCAGCAGGTACGTCTTGGCCCAGCGTCTGAGGAACCACACGATGTCCTTCCCCATCTGCGGGCTCAGCAGCTCCGTCAGGCTCGCTCTGGTCGCCCTGGACTCAACCTCTGACGTCCGCAAAACCGCCGACAGCAACCTGAGACAGAACAAAAATAAAGTCCATGTAGTTTTAGGTTTTGTGCTGTGATGTGTGTATTTTATTTCAAGCTTCATGTATTTTAAAGGCCCATCTAAGATGGATAAAGCAAATTCGCTTCGGCCATAAAAGCTGAGCTACACACTGATGACCACCTCTGCCTAATATGCCGTTAGTCCTTCACATGCTGCCAAAACAGATCTGACCCACTGAGGCACGAACTCTACAAGACGTTAGAAGCAGATTCTTTAAGTCCTTTAAGTTGGGAGCACCGCGTATAGAGCCTCCGCCTTGGCCCTTTTGTCATGTGTATGTTTGTTACAAGATAATCGATGTGAGTCGCTTCATCTGTGAGTGATCATAATGTTTCTGCTCACCGGTGTATGGTCATGCCTACACTAATAAAATATAAACATGGAATATAAAAGGGCAGGAGAGCAGGGGGAGTGGTGATTTGGAATAGGTTTAAATTTATACAGAAATAGATCAGATGATACAAACCAGGTCGTGAAAAGATAATGAGCTCGGCAGCGAGACGAGATGATATGAAATATGCATCACAATAAAAAGGATGCAGAGTAAAGGTCAGTTTATAGGTTACGAGTCCGTGTGGCTGCAAAAATTTTTGTCACCTGCCCATAAATGTGTGGATCATCTGATGGCGGCTCAAAACAAACATGTAATCATGTTTGTTTTTAGACTGTGTTCACGCCTTTAGGAGCCACCACTGTACTTTATACAAACAGGTTCACTGCTTGATTGAAAATGAAAACCAGCAAAGTTCAACTTTTCATGAATAATCTTTGAATTTTTTTTTTTGCATTAATGTTTTGTGGGTGCCACTGTTTTGTTACTGTTGTGTATATCTTGTTTTCACTCCACAGCTTGTAATCATGGGCTCGGATGAATAAAAAATCTCAAATCTGAATCTGAAATCTGGAGAAACTGCAGCTGGGAGCAAATGAAGAAGAGCTGGTCCAAAAACGACGAGGTCGTGTTAGCTGTGTGGTGACACTTTGTCTTTAGTCGAGACAATAGAGAAGAGAAATGAAGAATTAACTAATTAACTCTAGTGCACGGGTGTAATTAATATGAGATTGTTTCATTTATTGTTGTGGAGGGAAATGTGACAATTGTGATATTGATATTAAGTCACAAATCAATCGAACTTCAATACAAAGTCATCATTTTGCTGTCCTTTGTGTGTGTGTGTGTGTGTGTGTCTGTGTGTGTCTGTGTGTGTGTGTGTGTGAAAGACAAAAGGCAAAGTCACGTCCACCCAGCCACACATACACACACACACACACACACACACACACACACAGTATATAAAAGGACAGAGAGACAGAGGGCTTAAAGCAGCTTATGGGTCCGCCCCCCTCAGTGCGCAGTTTCACATTGTTTGCAGAAAACAAAACCACGCTGACATTTACGGGGCCGGGGTCGGCCGCTCGCTATTAGGAAACCTGATGCCATCGGCCACTCATCTCTGCAATCCTCTGTCATTGCTGTCATCCCCCTCACATACACACAAACACACATGCATCCTTGTACGCCTATCTTTGTGGGGTCCTGTCATTGACATAATGCATTCTCTAACCTTAACCATCACAACTGAACTCCTGACCCCAACCCTAAAACCAAGTCTTAACCCCCAAACAGCCACTTAAACTTGTGCTGTGCAGCATTTCAGTCCCAACGAAGCCGCTGGACCCCACAAATATGGTAAAACAAACCCCCACACACACCTCTGCATAATGAACAATCCACAAAAAACAGAGGCGCAATGACCTTCAACAGACAATATCACTGGCTGCTGTGACTGTCTATTGTCGTCACTGTGATTATCTGCACACACACACACACACACACACACACACACACACACACACACACACAAACAGATGATTGCCTTTAAACAAAGAAGCATCCAGTGTGACTGCCAACAGCCGTGACCCGCGCAAGGTTTCTGACACCACAGCCACATACTGTCGTGCTGCACAATTAATTGTTGTTAAAAACAAATCCTCTCCGATAACAGCAACTGGAGATACGCTTTGTGTCCCCGGGAGCGTTTTATTATCTGTCGGTGTATTATTAGAGCCATCATTTTGTGTGCTGATGTTCAACAACCACACGGGGAGAAATCTATTGTGTAAGAGAACAATTTCTAATCCCACGGCAGCAGAAAGAGACCACAGTGCAATGCAACAGCAACAGGAGAGGCTGTCACAATAAACAGATATTTCTGCTCTTACTGGCAGAGTAGCTGGCTGAAAATGAGGTTTGAAAGCCAGAAATCTGAGCCCCCGGAGAAGCAATCGTTCAATAATTCCTATTGATCAACAACTTCTTCTGCAGCCTGCGGATACGTTGTCATTTTCAGCTCTAGTGCAGTAGAAAATCTTTTTAAGATTTTTCCAACTGCAGCAGAAAAAAACAGATCTATTTTCATGGCGATAAGTGAAACTGTGGACAACCTGCAGCTCACCTGACACCTGACCTTCGCCTTGTTTATCAACTTGTACGGCAGCGGTGGGGTGGCTGCTGAGCTGTCGGGGAGCAGTAAGTGATTGTTTTCCTTTCTGATTAATCTCCCCATTATTTCTTCCACTGATTGATTAATGCTTCTGTTTTACAGTTTCACAAAACTATAAAAAATGACAATCACAACTTCCTAGTGTTCACTGGATTCATCAACATATCAAACACAATTCATTACAGCTGTTGGATTAACATGTAAAAATGTCAGACATTTTTTAGCTCTGGCTGCTAAACAGGGAAAATTTACTGCTTTTCTCAGTTTTATGTAGTAAATCCGAGTATTTTCTGACCACTTCTCAGAAAAAACGTCAGCTTGGGCATTTTCACAATTTTCTGTCATTTCATAGACAAACAATTGACAGAAGGGTTTTTGTGTCTGTGAGGTTAGATTGTCTTATTAGGGGGAGGAAGCTCAGGTTCAGGTTCAGAAAGCTAAAGGCCAAACATCCACGTCTGTCATCCTTACACAGTTTATAAAAGTTTATGTGTAACTGAGTTTTAAAAGTTTCTCATCCTGAGTCAAACACACTGCAAGTTGTCCAGAAAGCACAGTGAGAGGGTGTTTGTTCATGTGTGTTACTGGCTGCAGATTCACATGGTGATTGAGTGTGAATGTAACCCACCTTCAGCTTTATGGGACAATAACTGTGACAACACTTGGAAGAACGAGCAGCCTCGGACAGTGAGAAAGTCTATTCTGGGCGAGTTTTATGGGGATCTGTCCAGTTAAGTGAGACGAACTGTCACAACAACACAAGGACTGCTGGACACGAAGACGTGCCATCACATCCAATGCAACAAGCTATCTGCCTTCAGTTTGCCTGGGTGTTGATTCAACAGCATTGTGAAGTTTCCTGCGCAGCACAGTTAACATTTCTTCTGTTACACAAATTCAAACATGAGACCTTCACACTTCAACCACAGTCTCATGTTGATACTGGGGAAGTATCTGCTGTTGTTTGAGAGAATGAGGCTCAAATTCCTTTTTTCAACTGTGCTATACAGATTTTCTTAGCTAGTTTGAAGATTGGAGCTGTCAGTCTTCCAGTCCTCTATGCCACACGTCAGTAAGAGTCAGGTCTCAAACTTTACGCAACAAAGCCTTAAAACCCTACAATGGATAAACAAGTTACTTGAAAGCTCTTGAATCCTTGGCAACCTCAATCATCTAAATCATCTAACAGCCAGAAAAGCAAATTATAGTAACAAAAATAATGAAGAAACACAGCACATATAAAACGCTTTTTTTGAACAATGCAAAATAAACTTCATGGTTCCTCCACCAATACAATTTGAGCCCATGGTCATACGTCTTTGAATAGCAGAAAGGTTAAAGAATAAAAGCTTTATCCTCAGTTCAGTTTCAAACTTTAGAAGTTTTGTGTTTCTATAAGACACTAAATATCTGCAGCAGCATCTGAAAAAAAAATGTCCCAAGTCATAAAAGCTCTGACCATAATAACACAAAACATTAAATCAACCTCAGACACAACAGAACCAGTATTCAGTGTGACTTTCATCTCACCTGATGACGGAGTCTGTGCGGTTGCAGCCCGGTATGGACGAGGCCTTCTCCCCCGGTGAGCCCAGGATCTGCAGCGTCGTGTTGATGTCCACCTCCGTCGAGTGTTTGATTGAGAACTCCATCACCTCCGAGGGGATCAACGGAGTTTCACCCTGAGGGTCGTCTGCTAATAGATACCCTGCAGAGAGCGCACACGAATATAAACGACATGTTATACATGAAATTACACCACATTTTCTGTTTCCACCTTCTTATTTTTAAATATTGCTGCTTCTTTAGTCTTGTATGATAATAAATTCAATAGGGATTTGAACTGTTGATCAGAAGAAAAGCTGTTAGCTGAAGCTCTAGTATCAAGTTGTATATCAGAATAAAATATGAAAAGCATCATTGTCAGCATGAACAAATGTTACTCAACAACTTAACATTTCAAACACACAATTATTTAGTTTTAGTGTTTTATTGTATTCCACCATATACCCTGAACATTAAAAATATATATATAGATTTCAGCTTTAACAGCGTCTCCTTTTAGCTGAGCTGCCCACCCAGATCAAATGGTAAATTAATGGTGAGGAATCCACAGCGCTGCCTTAATGATGCTGATTCACACAATATTTCAATAACTCAAACCCACAGAAGCGGGTGGAGTTCAGTTCTTCTGTTCTGTTCACAAATAAAGTTCGTTAAGTGTAATATGCTGCACTGAAAGAGTCATTTACAAACATAATAAAACAGCCGTATTCTAGTATCTTAGAACGTCATACGGCTTTTCATTAACTACCTTTAGTACTGTTCCTACATTTGTTTTCAAACCATGTGAAGCCTTCATGGAACTTAAACCCTTAACCCGAATACTTAAATGCAAGTCCAGTTTAAATAGTGTAAATGTAAATAGGATTTTTTTGGAATAGAATTTATAATTACACTATATTGCTTTTTTCCCCCCTTCAGTTCCTAATTATAAGTTTTCATTATTTTGTAAATTATCATTACTGCCACTAAGTAGTTTCTTCTGTTTGTGTGTATATACTAAAATCAGTAGTTTTAATTTATAAATCTAAAATATACCATACTTAGCACTTTACTTCAACAGGCTTGCTGCTTGCCTGCATCACATTTTTAACAGCTGCTAATAAAGAAAACAAGCCTGACAGAACACAGAGTGCAGGGAGTGTAATCAAAAACATTAAAATGCAAAGGAAACATCAGCGAGGAAACAATTATGTCTTCCTCCAAAATGAATGACATTTGTGCTGAGTGAGTCCCAACTCTCCTTGTGTCAATCCAAGAGACTGGTTGCTAGATCCGACAACCCCAATGTCAAAGAAGACACAAACAAACAAAGTTCTGTCCTGCTGCTGACCTGAGACCAGTATGAGCCAGTGGATGTCCTCATAGAGGTCGTCCAGGACTTTGCGGTCCATTGATCCAGGGTCAGATGAAGCCATGAGATGCTGCTGCGTCCTCTGGAGCTGGCCGTGCAGCCGTGTCACCCGGTCCTCCAGCAGACTGCGGGACGAGGTCGAAAGACAGAAGTCAACACGGATAACAACGAGTCCAGCGGCCGAGGTCACACCAAATCCACAGTGTTGGACACGTTGAACAGATCTTATTACAAGCTCAAACATACTGAGATTAACTTAATAAATTAATTCATCACAGCAATAAAGTAAATGAAGCACCTGGTAAGTTGTTATACATTTACCTTGTGAGCAGGGGGATACAGTGGTCTGCTGCCACACGTCCCAGCATGCCGATGCTCGACAGCTGATCTGAGAACAGCTCCCGGTCGTCTTCCTGCAGCTCATTGATCTCGTCCTCATCGTGAGACGATATGCCATTCACTGACTGAGGTGAGCGATGAATTACAAAGAGAGAAAGAGAAAGAGAAAGTAAGTTAACCTGAGGATCTTCATCCTCTCCTCCAACTCTTTGAAACCGACTTCTCTGTTCATCATTTAAATGCAGTGAAACACAGCTGTAAAAGCAGGTAAAAGGCAGAGCCTCACCAGGTTGCGTGTGCCGTCAGGAGCAGCTAAGTGACACTGGATATACGAGTTGAAGACCTGGATCGCCGGCTGCACGAAGCAGCCACGAGGAAAGTGCTCCTCGTCCTGGACGAGCGTGAGCCAGGACTCCAGCAGCTTGTCGTAGGCCTCCATGTAAACCATGTCGTCCTTATCCAGCTGAGGGAAGAGAGCACGTGGGTGTTAGCAAAACACTGCCAACGATTTTCATTATTACTATTCACATCTTTGGTGTTGTCATCACTAACTAGCCAAGTTCACCCAGACGGTGGGGGTCGATTGAGCTAGGGTTGAAATTAACAATTATTTTCTTTATTGATTATTTTCTTAATTGTCATGTCGATAAAATGGTGAAAAATTACGATTTTAAGATGATTTTAATTTCAGTGATGTTTTCAGACGTAGTCTTTAATCTGAACAACAGCACTAAACTCCAGAGATATTCGATTTACTATCATTTAAAAAAAGAAAAGCATCAAACCATCACATTTGAGAATTTGGAACCAGTTTTCTGATGATTGACTGATGAATTAACTGACTGATTGTTGTAGCTCTGATTTGATCACCAAAAACCAAAACCTATAACTTACATGTTACATGTTAATACATGTTCGACATTTCAAAACCAGAAAAGTTCACATTGATAAGCACTGGTCACTGCCCCAAACCAAATGTTGAACTCTGGCCTATAATGTGACGTGGGACATGGATTCTACATGTACCACATGGTGAGTACACCTGGATCACAGTGGATCACCTCCTCTTATTTGATATAACTACGTTATAAATGAACAGCAAGTCAACATCTTCAGCATCTATAATCAAGCCAGAAGCTGCAGGAATAACTTGCACTCACTTTACGACAGTTTAGGTCTGAGGATCCAAATGTTGTAAATAAAGTGATCGACTGTGCAGGATTTTTTATTCACAGTTCATGATCTGGCAAACCTGTGTTTAAGACTTTGTGGAGTGTAAAAACTTTGTGGTGAATAAAACAAATAAAAAACACTCTGGTTAAACTGGACACAGCCTGTAGACTTTTGCAATCGGCCTCAAGTCAACTTTGCTTCGATTTAAGAGCCAAAAAGGTTGGAAAGCACCGATTTAGAAAATCTAATTTTACTTGTGATCAGAAAGTGAGGATAGTTAAGTTGCTGCAGTGTTAAAAATGCAGCTGCAAATATGACATCCTCCACATATGACAGTATTTCAAGAGCACAGTGTCTCAGAGCTTGTGATCTGGTTACACAAACTTCAATTCCAACACACCTTGGTTTGTACCTAAATGTGACACATGATGTGACTGGATGCAATGAATACGATCTGAGCCATGAACCACTCACCACCTCCTCCAGGGCGGCACTGCGTCCGAACGAGCAGGTGAGCAAAGTGAGGCAGTTGATGAAGGAGGTGAAGAGATCGCTGGGCAGCGCTGTTAAAGTACTCCGAGGGAACATGGTGATCAGATTGGAGATGATATTGGAGATGCCAACTGCCTCCGAGTCCTCGATCTCAATCCTGGGAATACAAATAATAAAATGCGATCAAAAGAAAAGATCTGAAAGATTCTTTATCCTGGTGTTAATGAACAGAGCTCCAAATACTTTATACAGTAGACTCCGTTTTAAATCAATGAACGATTAAAGAAAAAAACAGCAGCCAAAGGAAAACACATTACAATATCTACTGTGTTAATAAAACAGTGATGATGTGAATTCTAGTAATCCTCTGCCATCAGTGGTTAAACCCCCCCCAAAAAAACAACTTCCTTCTCTTGACAGAGAAAGCTAAGAAAGTTCATACTTCCTCTTTTCCAATTTTAATCCTCCAAACCCGTGGTTTGGCCTGAGGAAGGACAGTTTCCACTCTCTAGGGTGAGGCAGAGGCTAAACTGGGGTCACTTTCCAGTTTACCCGCTGGTGACTGAGGTTTGGAAACAGGCATGAAAATTGATCCTTAACCAAAACCCGTGGGCAACTTGACCCCTGAACAGTTTTCCACAGCTGCATCTGAGGTTATTTCTATGGTATTTCTGCCTCATAGTGCAGCACACAGAGTAAGAGGTGGAAGAGAGAATGGCTGTAATTACGTTTCTTGTTTTATCATAAGATCATACCATGAAGCATGAAGTGACAGATCTGGACACGCTGAAAAGAAAAATCATGTTTTCTTCACGTTTGATGAATTTTAAAAATAGATATGAAAGTGGCTTTTAATCTGACTTCTACACCATCTGGACAAATCTAACCACGGTGCCTGTACAATCAATGTGAAGAGAAAACTGAAGGATCACAGGAAGGAGTAAGGCAGCCGTGTTCTTAAACAAGTCAAGGCTCAAAGTTATCACCGCATTTTATCAGGTGTCAAATATTGTTTGACAAGACTAAGAATTTTATTTGATCATAAAACCAATACAAATTGAAATTTTGACCTCATGGTAGCGACAGACCGACAGAGAGAGAGAGGGAAAAATAAATAAATCAGGTGATCAGCAAAGTCAGTACTCCTTTTTCTCTGGAGCCCATGAATGTCTATACAAGATTTAATGGCAATTCATCCAATAGTTGTTGGTTTATTTTAGTCCGAATTACCCACTGACCACCACGGTCATCCACAGAGTCTTGTCAGTATCGTGGCTATAAATGTTTCAAGTGTCACACTTCAGCTTGTAACATTTCTTATTTTAACACGCCATAAGAGTAACGATGAAGATTCAAACGTATAGCTGCCCGCAGAATCGTATTAACCCAGACTTCCATTAAGTTCTCTGTGAAATCTCTTTCTGAACAAATTCCTCTGTATCTGAAACATGTCAGCGCTCTGAATTTATCGGAAAAGATGCATCGACAAATGTTTGGACTGTGTTACACCACATGATAACACTGAGCGGGCAGAACCAAAAACAAATGTCAAAATTCAATGTGTGACTGATGGAATCAAGGACACCACACGGCTGGAAAAGGCCTGGAATTTATCCAGAAATGTGTGGAATTTTCCAATTCCCAACATACTTACATACAATGTGTCTCTATACTCCACACCACCTCACCACAAAATACATTATCCTGCAATTAAGCTATCAAGGCCACAAAAGTTACCAGAAAATTGCTCACCGAGACCACACAAATATCTCATGTGACCACACCCATCACGCTGTTAACGACAAAAGACCTTCACGTGGGCAACAGCATTAGAAATTGAAGAAGAATTGTAATTTTATTCTTAATTCTGCAGTCTAGTTTGCAGTTAGTGATACTGGTATTTGAGAGTTAAAAAAATATGATACTGAGCTGACTGTTTTGTATGTATCCAGCAGGACACTAAAGACATGGTTTCTAAATGACCTCAGACATATCTTTGGCATGTCTGTGCGACAGTTTCTTGTTTACTTGTTGTAATGAGCTGACATATACACTGATACTGATACATCTTTGATAAGCTAAGACTCCACTGACAGCATCAGGATGCTGAATTATCAGCCTCTCCATTCAGCCGGAAGCTAAACCAAACATGCTTTAGTTCTTATACAATGCATATACTGTAAACCTGCTCAACAGTCTCAGCATCTGCTTCAGTACATTTTCTACATTCCTGCTTAGTTAAATTGTCTTTTAACCCCTGCACGAAAAGAAAAATCACCTCTGAAGTTTTGTATATTTTTTTCTTTTCTCGTCTTTGCTGCACCTAAGTAGGAAAAGTCTTAATCCTGAATTTGTATATTTGAACTGACACACCTCTCCAGTCAGTCCGAGTTAGAGAGGAACATTGTGTGTGAGGCCTAGCTAACCCCTATCAGATGGAGTTAAATTGCGAGCAGAACTGTTCAATCACTGTAGATCGGCCATCCCTCTCCGCATGGTTTTCCGATGAGGCAATTGGAAAAAAGCTCCAAGAATAGGTGATTACAGACAGAGCAGGAGAGGAGGGAAGAGAGAGGGAGTGAGTGAGAGCACGTGAGAGACGAGAGAGGGAAAGAGAGAGAGGGGGGAGACCCCTACTCACTGACTCACGTGGTCCAACAGTGAGCTGGTGTGCACATTGAAATGTGTATGTGTGTCTCAGTTATTTATACATGAGAGTCTGGCCCCTTAATTCAGATCAGAACCACGCTGACTACAGACACGCCCACAAATGAACATGAAATACTTCTACTGTACTTATTGGCCCTAGAAAAATCATCTCAGTCTCTCACATTCACACACACAGTTCCCATAAACACCAACATTTCTGATAGAAACCTCAACTAACGCATGTTTTTCAACAGCTATAATAGTGCTTAGACATTGACAACAGTACAAGTATCAAAACTCAAATGTGTCTGTAGCATCAAGTATTGGTAACTTTAATGTTTAATATTAAATGTCTGGTCAGATTTGTTTTTATTTATTCTTTGATCCATCCGCTGCTGATCTAAATCTTAGGATCTAAACTAGCACAGTCAGCTAACTGTGCTAGCTTTATTTGATTCAGGCAGACTACTTACAAATACAGCTCCCTTCCTAACACGCACCGGAAAGTCAATGTAACGTCAGAAAGTCGTTGGAATCCAACGCTGGACAGACGTTAAAATAACTGACATTGTGACGTTTGAAAAGACGTTTAGTTTTGCACACGACTCGAATGAATTTTATGTCACGAGACATTTGGAAGACGTTGGATTTCCGTTGCTCACCCGACGTCACCACCTACATTCAGCCAAATATTAATGTCTAACGGCGGTGGCGAGCTGCGTGCCTGCGTGGTTTGTTTTGACATTTAACATTTGAAGAAATGTGGTTTTATATGTTAAACCTGAAGGGGGACAAGTGACATTTTAAGTGACATCCTCACATTTTGAGTTGATAACAGTTGCTTTTTTACACATTTTACAGTTACGCAGCAACATTGTCATCGATTTGAAATCATGTTCGTGTCCACCTGGCGAATATAAGTCTAATATTTACTTTCTTTAATCCTAATTTTGGTCTTTTAGCTTATATCTGGCTCTTTAGCTGCTAAATGCTCCGCTTTGTTCACCACCTCGTTGCCAACTGTGTCCAGCTGAAACTCATAATAAAGCTCCACATAACTGTTGATCTGCTCAGAGTAAATACGGAATATTTCTCGTCGTCGTCAGATTCAGGAGCATTTGTAAGTCAAGAGCCTTGAGAATTATGCACTTATAAAAACTGTTTAATGTGTCAAAAATAATTTTATCGATCAGTTTTAATGGCTAAATTATATTTCAGCATTAGCTCCTTTAGCTGTGGATGACAGCATTTCATTTAGTGCTCTTGCATTTGACAGCTTTTCTATTTAGTATGAATGGGGCATATTTTCTTAGGGAAAATGTGCTTACTTCCACTTTAATATAAGTGACTATTCAGAAAGGTCCAATTTGGAATCATCAAAAAAGAAGAAATAAATTAGGCTTATTGAAAAGATTTAATTTCTACAGTTTTCAGCTCAAATTGAATTAATAAAAAAAGGGACTAATTAAAAAAAACATGCAAGGTCAAAATCCAAGGTTGAATCAGCCTGGGTATTATAAAGATGCATGTAATGTTATTGGAGAGTTTGAAATGACTGCAGTAAAGAGTTGACACCATGTTTATGAAGAGCTATGCTAGCAGAGTCTTAAAGGTCAGACAGAGTCACAGGTCAAAACCGAGAAGATAAAACATGAGATCACCGTAATGGGAAGATGATCTCATCACATCAAGTATAGGCTGAGTCAAGTTCTAATAAAATCTGCATTAAAATCACTCCATGAAGAGATGAACCGACCCAAAACATTTGAGGGGAAGAACTAAACAATGACTGGTGCTGTATGACGCCTGTGTAAGGTTAAATTCACCCTTGTTTTCTCAGCAGGCTTTTAGGTTGAAGTCACATAGTCTTCTGAAGAGGCAACAGAAACAACTGTAGAAACAATTCATTGATAATCGATTTATCTTCATCTTGTTTTTCATAGCAAAAACTCTTGTCTGGTTACAGCTACTTCAATGTCTGGGTCTACTTTCTTTAAGTTCTATATCATAATAAACTGAGCATCACTGGGTTTTGGATGCTTGGTTTGAACCAAACAAGATACTTGAAGACACCTTTTAGACATTTTATAGACTAAATGAATAATATAGTATACTATACAGGAGGGGAAAAAACAACAGAACAACTGTGGAAAAATGCTTTGTTCTACTTTTCCCTTTTCATGTTTTCTAAGCAGGTATAGGACTCAATCTGTCATCTCTTACAGCCTAAAATTCAGCCCTTTTCTTAACCTCTAGGTAACTGCTGCCTCATCCTGCTGCTAAAAACAGAGCAGTAATCTCTTCTAATGCATCTTCCTGAAGCCCAAAACACACTCTGATTCCCTGCACCACACAGAAACAATCAATAGCCTCCAAACAGCCCGCCTGCCTGTGAGACCCGCCACAGGCTAACACAACTCGTAATGTTTCTCAGAACGAGATCACAAGCTCTATTTCTTCACATGACCCCTGCTAACAAGAAGGCAACACATGAATCACAGACTGAGGAGGCCGCCGTATGGCTTCTTTAATGCCACACATCTGCCCACACCAGTTCAAACACAGTGCCAGTACAACCATGTCAGTTATGAACGCCCTTGAGCGTAGCTTAGAAGAATCTGGTTAACAAATACAATGGATCATATTTAGAGCCTCAGGGTTTCCTATTTGTTAAATGTGGTCTTATTTTATCTAAAGATAAAAGTCACTTTGGTTACAAAGCTGATTACAGACTCTAGACTCATAAGTCCAAAATGTCACCTCTGTACAATGTGACAGGGAACAGCTACGGTAGGAAAAGGCTGAAAAAAATACGAAGGAAAATTGGCTTTGAGCTGAGCTTTAGGGATGAAAACCCTTTATTTCCTTTGCTCAGAACACCCAGGTTCAGTCCTGCTTAGTAAAGGGATTTTCAGCAAAATAAATTGAGCTGAACACTGGAGTACACGCAATTTATTCTAGTGGAAACCCTATTGGCATTTTGATGCATCTGTTGCTTTATGAGTAATGAAGACGCAGTAATGCTGAAACGAGGGCATGAGCTAACTTTTTCTTTTTGTACGCGGGCCAAAATTCACCAGCCACTTTCACAATATCACCAGTTAAAAATACATTTCGATCAGAGCCTCAAATCTTGGACTGAGGCTGATCACACAGAAAACTCTGATGTCCAGGTTTCAACCTATAATCTTGTGATATTTGTTTATCAGTTTTTTTTTTCTCCCTTTATCAGAATATCTGGGAAAAAAATATTGTGTGGTTTACTTTTTCATTATTTAAAATTATTTAAATTACATCATAATTGTAATGTACAATAATAATATACAATTTCGCAAATTTTGCATTATTTGTGCCTTTTGTATTGTGTTTTTATGTGTCTGTATTTTAAGTTTTGTTTTCGTCTTTTACTGTGAAGGACTCTGACGTCTCATGTAGAAAGATGCTATAAAAATAAAGTTTAATTTCCTACTTCAGCTTCTTATATTTGTGCGTACCATTTTCTATCTTTTAATTTGAATCATCTATTTATGTTCTTAGCTTCTCAGTAAGAGTCCTTTGCTGTACATTTTGTTTTTAAAATATGCTCTATATATAAACCGTTTTATCATAATACTTAACAGTTTACAGCATGGATTCATGGTATATGTAAATTATATTTAACTTTAATGTCATATCAATATGTATCACCACATAGTAAATATTCTGGAAAATCATGATTAAGGAAGCAGATGAGAACGGCTACTACAGCAAATCATCACATTGATGCAAAAAAAGTCAATTATGACTCAAACTGAGTCATGCTGATTGTTTTGCAACATTGCTAACGATACCAGATGGCTTCCACGCCACTAAATGATAAGTTATTTGAAGAGAAATATAGTTTTAAACTTGAGTTATTCTGAATGGGTTTCAATTGGATTCAGATTCATTAAATTCTGCAGAGCTTCCAGTTGGAACTGGAAACAGTCCACATCAGTTTCATCTTCAGGGTCAGGCAGCTGTATATTAGATGAGAGGAGAGCTACTAAACGATGGTAGAACTGATAACACTTAAAACAGAACCACGCTCAGTATTTACCAGCGTTTGAATGGCTGCTCGTGTTTATTTTTTCCCCCTCTCTGGTTATAAACAATGTCTCTGTGAGAAAAATAAATGCATGATTTGATCCACTTTCACATAAATCTGGTTTTAGAGGCCCCTGGGAAACATAAGTTCCTGGTTAACTCCATTTGTTACTGAACTGGAAGACAAACTCTTCCCTCCCCGGACAGTTTCCCATAGAGTGTGCAGATGCTAGAATCAGAGACCATAAAAAAAAACAAAACAGACTCAACAAGCAATTACTTCCCGTAAATAAAGTAGAAATGGCACAGTGTGAGTCACACTTGTTGGCCTCCATCACTTGTTGAGTTTTGGAATTTAAGAAACATGAAATCCTTGAGATACCGGAGGAAGATAAAACCTACTGAGACTGTAGCCAAGGATAATGTAAAATCAGCTGTGCTCACTGATCCTGTGTTTTTGGATGCTACTGCAGTTCATGTAGCTGAGATGGACAGCCGAGGTTTAAGAAAAGCATTACATTTAGATTAAATGTACAAAACAGTTGCAACGTTTATCACACAATCCACATCTGAGCTGCCTCAAAGATTTAAGACAATTTTTTAACAAATCTACATCTACAACTCCTGTACGATTCCTTTAGATTTAAGCATTAACCTCAATAGTACACCTCATTAAAAGACCCATTTTCATTCAAATGATTTAAAAAAATATATTTTTCAATAAATCCCAGCACAGCAAAAGCAAAGCTAATTTAGTGTAGCACAGTGGGTGTATAATGGCCCCTGTTTCCCTGTGGGAGCCACTTTCAATTGGCAGGTTTGAATTAGTCCCATCTGTTGTTTCTTAAGCCTCACCTGTCAGTGTGGTGGAAATGGCTGGAAGGTATCAACTGGAACAAAAATGGAATATGTTCTATTGAGGGGATTTACATTTTAAATCAAACAGGCTCCTGCTTTAAGCTTTTGTTTCCTTAATTTGGTTGTTTCTTCTTCTTCTTCCAAAAAAAAGAAGTGACAACCGGGTTAATGAATGTCACGGAGCAGAGACTGTGGTGTGTGGTGAAATCCCCGCAACCTCTCAGCAAATTAAAGTCTCAATGGTTTAGGTGTAACAGTTAATCACTGTAGCTTCTATTAATGTCAGTGTCATACCTGTCTGGTAATTGGTCGTAATTAGTATTTTTTGTTACACGAAACAGTTGAAATTTGTTTTGTTGAGTGAAATAAAAACTGTATTATTTTAACTAACAGTCTTCATTCCCCATCAAACAAACACACGACTTTAAAAGTGATTCAAAAGGTTTCAGATTCAGTTTAGGAACCAGATTCAGATTTGATAAAATGCTATCGAACTATTAACACTGTTGCTAATATGAACACCGTGCTAATAGTGGCAGACTGTACGTTGGTGACACCTACCCGTTGATCATGCTCAGCAGACCCTCCACCAGGTGAGCCAGGTAGGACACCTGGGCGCTCTCGTCAGGAAAGATGGGCCCGTGCATGGAGGCCAGCTGGGCCAGGCACTGCAGGGAGTCCTGGGCCATGTCCGAGTCCTCCCGAATCTTCCTGTGTACCTGAAGAGGAGAGGTGAAGAAGTTTCAAGCGTTTCATTTTGTGTTCTTTAGTTTTGTGTTTACAAAGTATGAAAGAGGGAATCTAATCGAGTAAAAGCCGAAGTACTTGGATATCTGAACATAGCTGGAAAAAAAGCGCACTGGGAAAAAGAACAGACGAATGAATATATGTGGAAAACCCCTGCACTATGTCACTCTCAACAACTGACTGAAAAAGCACGGATCGTTTCAGTTTTGTCTTCTTGCCCACCTGCTACATGAAGAGAGACAACAAGGATGGAAAAAGAAAAAGAAAAAGAAAAAGAAAAAGAAAAAGAAAAAGAAAAAGAAAAAGAAAAAGAAAAGAAAAAATCTGAGCTTTCTTCAACCCGCCCTATTTCTCTTTAATAAGGAGGAAAAGCTACAGCGAGCCAGTAATGTGCTTCAAGTGAGCGTCTGAAACCTTCCACGGCTGAGTACCTGCACGGCTGCAAGGCATCTCGCTGAGATTCCCACCCAGAGAGACTGACATAGAAGACAACAGCAGCAGCTTTAAACTCCTTTAAATGCTCATGTTAAAATGATGCTAACACCAGCTGAAAGGAAATTACAGAAGAATAAGCACAATCATCGAGCGATGTTTTTATCTTATTTTATCTTTTTATAAATAGTTACGTCTTTGCCGTGTGTGGTCTAACAAAAGCATCTATGATGGCTCCACAGGGAGGTCAGAGGTCAGGAATACCAACAAAGCAACAACCTATTCAGCAACGACACTTGAGCTCACTTGACAGGAACGTCATTTAAACTGGTCTCCTGCGCTTCCCTGTGTGTGTTTGCTGCGTACGGAAATATCTTAAGCTCGGCTTCTTGTAGCATTTTTCAAACGTCAAAATCCTTGTTTTTTATCAATTTATATTTTGTGTTTTTAACATGTGAATTATTGATTCTGAATTTGAATTCACTTTTAGGAATTTAATTTTGTGTTTATGTCTAAACTTTGGACAAATTAATCAGTGTCGATTTGTTTAAAGTTCAGCTGCAGATTCACCAAAAACAACAAAATTACTGTAAAACCTCGTTGACAAGTTCAAGCAGTTCGTCGTAGAGATCGTTAAGTCTGTAACATGCACACGCTTAAGACTGGCAAATTAAACTCAAATTACCTTTAAAAAAAAAAAGAAAAAAAGAAAAAAAAAAGACAATCAATCAAAAAACTAAAATCTTCCTTTACTGTATGTAACACTGAGCATAACAACAGCTGTGCAGATCTTAGAAATTAACCTTAATCATTTAAGTCTCAGCGTACTCTTAGTGATCAACTGTAGAAATCTTCTTTATCGTGAATGACCAACCTGTGCTCTTTGCTTCTAACAACTGCTAAAAAACAGCACATTCAATTTACCTTATTAAAGCTACACAGCATGTAGGTTAATACAGTTATATGTCATACCAGTCGAAGAGTGACAGAAGAGCAGACTCTGACTCGGTCAATAATTCCCAACTATATAACAATAATTACAAAATAATAGTGAAAGTGTTTGCTGACGATGTTGACCGAAACTCCACTCCTATACCTACAACCTCTGACCACAACCACATACAAACATACAATATACACTTACACATAACGTTACCGTCTATGGCAAGAAGGAAATTTTGAAGAACTCCTAAGGTCTTCATTTGAAGGATCTGCATTCAATGCTTTTTAAGACTTTTCAAGGTGTGCAGATAACCTGAGATGAGCAGGGATTTGTCTCGTGTTCACATTACATTTCTTAGAGGAGAAACACTGATTCAATTCACATCCTCTAAATATAGCGTGAGAAGGAAATTTAATCTACACATTTTGATTTCGCCCTGATGCTTTGGTGATACTTTTTTTTTTTGTGTCAATGACAACGTAAGTCAACCTGCACTGCAATTAGTCTTTCTTTGAAACAGACAAGTTGTAGGCCAAGACTGAGAAGGTGAACCTTCCTCCTCCTCCTCCTCCTGTCATCACATTCAAAACACACATCAGCTGATACCCAGCAGGATTAATACTCACTGGTGTAACCCACTCCCCAGCAAGCTGAGGCGTAGCAAAATGGCGAAATGATTTTCAACACGTCTGTCTTCAGACACTGTGACCCTGGTCTCAAACAAAACAATCACTGAGCTCCTGAGAGCCCACAGACCGACTCAATCGAACCCGGAGAGCAAAGATCTGGCTCCTTTTGGACAAGATCTGGTCGACTCAGTCTCATCTCAGTCAAGAGCTGCTGCTCAGTTGTGGGATTTTGGGTTTTGTCCGTGCTGAGCTGTCACACTCCAACAAGAGAAGAGGCATTGTTGGTTCCAATTGTGCACACAGACAGACAGACACACACACACACACACACAGCAAGGTAGCAGCAGTAATAGCGCTGCGAGTCATCACAGCCTTTCAGCAACATGTGTATCCACTGACGATACTATGTGGACGTCTGGAGCTCAACTGCCTTCCTCCTGTGAGCTGGCTCTCTGTCTTCTCAGCCAGTTCAAGCTCTTTTCCTCTTTCTTCTTCTTCTCCCGTCCCTTGAACTGTCATCCTCTTAAATCCAGAGTGAGTGCTTCTTCACCAGCCCCACACACTATGCCAGCGCACAGCCCCATCGCTGAAGCAATCAAACTTTCAACCTCCCTCTCCCTGTCGCTTCTTCCTCCTCCTCCTCTCAAATCTTCTCACTTCCTCCCCCCAAATTCTTTCTCGCAGCCTCCTCCTCTTTTCTCTCTCTGCTCTCCAGCTGGGGAGCCTGGCTGGTTGTGAGCCACACTGCTGGGAAGAGATCTTAGATGCTAACGTAGCGTAGCTACCATATTCTTTGCTGCTGCTGCTGCCCTCTTCCAGAGCGTGAAGTCATCCTCTGGAAGAGCTCAGCGAGAGGACAGGGGAGGAAGAGGGTGGGAGTGGGGGGGGCAACGAGTGAGTGAGCGAGCGAGAGAAAAAGAGAGAGAGAGAGGGAGAGAGGGAGGGGTGGGAGAGGCAGCGCAAGGCCAAAGGACTGAACAGCGCGAGCTCTGAAAAAGCAGCTGCACCAGCGAATGATCCATGCGATGCCAGTAATGTCAGTCGCCTTGAGTCTGACTATAGTTAGAGATACATAACGGATGTGTGTGTGTGTGTGTGTGTGTGTGTGTGTGTGTGTGTGTGTGTGTCAGTATGTGGGGAGTGGGATGGATGGAAAGAGAGAGAACAAGATACAACAATATGAAACATTTTGGGAATGCAGATCAGATGGCAGTAGATTTTGCACACTGATTAATCAATGGGTTTGGTATCAGTGAAGCATTAGTCACTCTTCTTCACGCCATTGTCACAGTTGCTAATTCGATTCTCACTACGTTTTCTTTGGCAGTGGATTTCTCTTCATACTACCAGTAGACTGGTAGTATGAGAATGTGGAAATAAAAACGGAGTAGGGCTGCGTGTTTTTGGACATTTTTTGATATTCTTGCCTCTCACACTTACAGAGTTAGCCGATATTAACTGATCATATACATATATTAAATGTTTGAGGAATATAAACATGTTTAGCTATAAAAAAAATGTTTCCATTCAATACAAAAAGTATTCTGAAATTACATTTTTTTTTTGTATAAACACAAAAAACGCATCCTAAATTAAATTTTTCTAAATTGGTAAACTCATGATATAAACAACAACACGTGAAGATGAACTTGGGCAAATGTTCAGTGTGGAGATGCAAGTAATAATTGCTTCCATTAATGATTAATCTGCTGATTCTTTTCGCAATTAATGAACGAATTGTTTATTCTATAAAATGCAAAAACAACCTCCTCATTTATTTCCCAGAGCCTCAGCAATTGTTTTTTCTTACAGTTTCTTACTTTTCTAAAACATTGTAGTGCTCTCTTCAAATCGGTGTGTGCACACAGCTAAAGACTGTTGGAGGAAGAAACTCTTCTCTGCTACCCTACTCTATGATCACGAGTGGATTGTGTGTTTCCTCTCTTGTGAAAAAATCTAACTTTAATCATTAGTTCATGATAAATATGAGCTGTGTGAGATGTGTATGAGATGTCCGCCCGACGTATCAAAAAAGCTGATTACAGATCAGCTGATTCTCCAAATTAGTTTATTTATAACTACAGTTACTTAGAAACTTAAATACATTTGATAAGGGATTCGACAGGATAAGTATTTGAAAAGCTTATCTGATACTGGATTCAGATTCAGTAAAATTCGTTCTTGAACCTTACTGCAGACACATTTTACTTCATACGAAAGAAGTGCAGGGGTTCAACATCAAGCCCTATAAAAGGAAAAAGAATATAACCGTGGAGACAAGAAAGGGCAATAGGTAATGAGGGAGAGAACCAGCCAAGAGGAGGAGGGGGAAAATGAAGGAGAACGGCGGGGAGACAATGAGGAGAGGGAAAGAGTGGAGGAAAGGGGATGAAGGAGGAGATGAGAGTGAGCCAGACGAAGAGATGGAAAGAGAGAGGAGGGGAGTGGGAGACAGAGAAAGGCAGGGAGAATGAGGAATGATATTTATAGAAGGAGACAAAGCCTGGTGTCTGTTACCTCGGGGGGCTCAGAGGCTCATCTTTCTGTTTTTTCAAATCAACACTGTGCTTCCAACTTATTGTCTTTCGCTCGCTCTGTTCCACCATCACTCTCTCTCTCTCCCCCGTCTCTGCCTTTCTGCCTCTCAGATTGGGTTACTGTCTGCCTGCAGGCCTCTGCTGCAGCCTCATCAGTCCCTGCACTCCACACTGATTGTGTTTACTTGGTAAACACGAAACGCTTTAGCGTGTGTGCTCTTGTACTTCTATCTTTGTGAGGACTAGCGACGGGCTTCTATCCCAACGTATGCAATGTTACATCACAACAGCAATACACACATCGTAACATAGCAATAGACTAACTACTCATAAAGAAAATGAAAAGAAAAATGATAAAAGATGATAAAAGAAGTGTTTAGGTAACATGCGTCAATACTGCGAAGACGTGTTGGTCATTTTCAACAACCATC